TCTTATATCCAATCTAAATATTCTTTCCCATTTACTCTAGGTTCTTTTCCTTTCATATATTTTCCATATCTTTGATGAATGGTAAATGTATTAGAGCCTTGTTTTTATTTTTTTCTTTCCTAAAGGAATTGATGTGAAACATACATTGATTATGAATGGATCAAAGATGTATATGAAATGGAAATTTTTTAAATAATATATCCAACATAATTTAAATGTGTAAAAGATGAAATCAAAGTATTTTACTACAGGATGAGGAAATTATCGGTCAGCACACATGGAATTTCTGATCTTTTATATATAGTCGTTGGGTGAATTATAAATTGGACCCGCTATCGCTATCAACTTTGGAAACTAGAAACAACATTGCATAAAATGGAAAACGTTGAAGCAATTGATCATACCAATTGAGGCTTGAAATCACCTCACTTAATTTGTGCAACATTATAGTGGCACTGAATTAATGACCCATACAATGAAACTATTAAAAAGAGCAATAAAATCAAAGCTGAAAAGCGGATATAATTTTTTAGATAATCAATTTGGCTCCTTGCCATTTAGGTTTTGTCCAAGGATGGTTTACAACTAGCTATGTACTCTCCAAATGTGCCATTATATTTATTATTGTGCCGATTTCCAGCTAGATATATACTCTCCAAAAGTAAATCATCCCGGTTTCCAACAACAATAGCTGTGTCTTTTAAATTGGAAATCGTCTTCTTTATGGCATAGGAGTAAGGTACAGATGTCCAATTGTTTCTGAATTTGAATCAGAACGCAAAAGCAAAATGAAATATTAATATGAACCGCTCATCGGAGATTACTTGAATTTCAGTTCGAATTAGTTTTTCGAATTAACTTCCACAAAAGGTCACCCGATCCAAATTTTCATATCTAAATCTCATAATCACGAAATGATGCTAAGATGAATGGCGTCAAGGGCTAAGGTAATAGTAGCTTTTATGGAGAGGGCATTTATTTCATTGCCAATGTTGGGTACCTTATACTCTAATCATTTGAAAATGGATAAAGCAAAAGGGAGATACATGTAAATAAATCTTCCACCATTGAATGTTAATATCATTTCTAACTTGCTTCATTATGTGCTATTAACAATTATTTTGATTTTAAATATTTGATGAATGCATGAGATTGATTTCATTGTCATAGAAAATTGTACTGTTTTTAAGAGAACACGTGCAATTTCAGTGTACTGAGTTAAATGAAGCTAGCATCAATTAAAAAGTCAATCCTTGTTAGGATCAAACTTATTATGAGTTTATTCTTGTGCACCTTTTGTCAGATGTCAAAGCTCTCATGGGTCAGGCTAAAATCTTTGTGTCTTCCACTATTATCGGCCATTCCTTTACTCAGTCTAGAATTTGGCCCACTACCATTTATTGATGAAAATGTGATATTATTTAAGAGCATGGAATCATTTCAATCATATTTGTCTGCAAACTCTGTGCCCAGTGCCGTCATTTGCCCAGTAGTGCCAAATGAATAGAAAGGAAAAGGGAAAGGTAGAAATTAGTGCCTGGTTGTTTCGAGGGAGACCAGATAGAAATAAACAAATTGTGTCAAACACTCTGCATTTTAAGTTTAGTAGTTTGGTGACGTGCCTGATACTACCTTTAGTCTTTACATGTGATGCTCATCTAGTATTTTAATGATATTGACCAATATCATCGAACTTCTCTAATTCGTGATTGAGAACCGAAGCTGTATAAGTTTAGGAGGTTGATTTTTAATGCTACATTTTAGTCCATACAATTTTTTTTTTTTTTTTATTATTATTATTATTATTTTTTTTTTTTTGTAATCTGGGGAGCGAATGTTAGTTGAACATTCCGGGCTCCAATTCATTAGGTGCAAAGTTCCTTTATACAAAAGAATTGGCTTCATTCTGGTATTGCTGCTGAGTATCCATTTTGCTTGCTTGTGCTTTCATTTGCAGTGCATGCATGGTCCCAAATGTAAGTTGGGAAACTTCTGCACTACAGGCAGAAGGCTGCAGGAAGCGAATGTTTTGGGCGGCCTAATTCTGCCTGTCTGGGGAACCATTGAAAAGGCACTTTCGAAGCAGGTACTTTATTTTCCTTCAAATATCTTCAGGGGTGAATATTGATGAATGGCAGAGCAGATGAAAGATTGGAATAACTCAAACATACACTTGTTTGCTCAGAATCTTATGTATCAATTGCTTATATTTTGCAATTAGTTTTTCTCGTAAGCTATTATTACTAGTAATCCCTATTAGCCAATCCTTGTTGGTTTTCAATGCTCTTAGCTAATCTTCCTAGAGGCCAATGATGTGACTGATGTGATAAAAAATATGTACTTACACTCTACAGACGCTACTTTAAACAAACTCCCTGTATTTCCTGGGCATGGGAATTCCAAATCTCAATGTATTTTTGTTCTGGCGTGCTCTACTTGTTAAAAGTTTGATTTTAGTTGGTCTGGTGACCAGTATGTTACTTAAGACATAACTTTCCCGTGCTTTATTTGTGATTCTTTTCTACATTGGATCTTGCAAAAACTTTTTGCTTTTATTGATGGGAACAATCATATCTTTTACAGTTTCGACAAAGCCATAAAAGGCTACGTGTTGTGCGCATAGAGACCACTGCGGACAGCCAAAGAATTGTTGGACTGCTCATACCAAATGCAGCTGTAGAATCGGTGCTTCAAGGTCTAGTTCTGTCACTCTTTTTTCTATTGTTCTGTAGTTGTATAGCCTATAAGGGATTACTTACTGATTCTTACGATGCCCTTTCTTTGTTGCTGCCTACTTGTCGTATTTTTTATTTTGTTGATGATGTTATTATTATCGTTATTGCTTCATTTTAGTTTATTTTATTGACGATGGAGGTGATTGGCCTTGAGTGGGGCATGTGTTTTGCTAGTTTCTTCTGTGATAACTGCAAATTATATATCCAAGAGGACCAAGATCATTAGTTGGACGAAATTTCATAGGAAATGTTAGTGCTCAGCCTTTGTTAAATCTGTAAATTTATAGTCCCAATATACTTACAATTCTATTTTTCTGAGTATGTTTAAACTAATAATAAATTTTATTGTCAGTTGGTGGTTAATTTTTTTCCCTTACCACAATATTCATCATATTTTGCACTTGCACCATATTCCTAGTATAGTATTTCAGCAGATGCGGCTATAGCAGCTATTATATTAAAATAAAGCTAAAGATAGTCTGCCAGATAGAACTTCTTCGTGTAGGTAGGGTTCCATACCAAGAGCAAGATCTTTGTATATTGTGGATTCTGTGGGTTATTTTGCTTCACCTCCTGTTTTGTATTGATAATCTTTTGGCAGTCTGTGTTTCGAATTTCAATACGTAAGATCACCACCACATTCTTTGTTTTCCCTGCAGATCTGGCGTGGGTTCAAGACGTTGATGACGAGTGAAAGAAACCACAGTTCTTTCTTCAATTTATTGCTATGGATATGCTGGTATGGACTTCCTTCAAGACTCGACATTGCAATCTTGACTCACTTTTGGCAAAGCAGCTGTGGATCACATTTAAAGTTGTAGGCTTCATTTTTCCATTTAAGGTTGTCCAGCGATGCTTAAAACCTAATTAGCAGCAGTGTTCATATTCTATTTATTTAGGCCCTATTTTGTGGCACATTTTGAACTTGCCAGCCCTTGTCTTCTAATTTTTGCCTTTTGTTGTGTATAATTATCAACATAAATGTAATATTACAACTGTACACTTCAAACTCATCTCTTGGAAATATAAATTCAAATGCATATTTGTAATTCATTGTAATTTTATTGTACACACAAGTCATTCAAGCACAATAACATCACAACAATACATCAAACCTTCCAACCCCACAACCAACAAGAAAATTTTTTGCACTCACAAATACAATTGTAACAGTTGTTTAGCAAACAAAAGATGCATCAACATGATAATCACTACAGTAGAGCCCCAGGCGCCGAGTATAATCACTACAGCACAAGCTCTTGATTACTAATCTTCCCATCCGACTCGACAATTATGTTCTGTATGGCATTGCTATGTGGTGGTTTAAGTGAAAACCACGTGACTAGATTGCATCCTCTGACTTTTCCTTTAAGGAATTTCTTGAGTCGGGCTCGAAATCATCCTTCTTCTTCTTCTTCTTCTTCTTCTTGCTCGTCGTCATTTTGTTTGGTGCTCTTGCCAATTTGCTCTTTGGTCTCGTTGATTAGGCCACCACTGTGGCAGGAGTCGGACACGATTGTGATCTGGCATCCTTGTGGTACTTTGTCCACAAGGTCCCTGAAATCATCATCTGATTTGATTCACGACATTCAAAATAAGAAAGAACAAAGAATGAGCTGAATGATGGTAGTTTTGATTTGAAAGCTGTTTTTGGTTCTTGTGAAAGGGTATATAAGCCAGTTCAGATAGGTCCAGCAAAGGGTACAATCTGGAAGCACCATTGTACAACCTACCGATTCAAAGTTTCTTCTTCACATCAAGTAACTAATTTCCAAAGACCGATCTTCAAAGCAAAATCAAATAACACGACGACAAATAAAGACGAGACGGAAAAAAGTGGCTGACCGGTGATCAGATTCATGTCCGTGGGGACAATGCACTCGTCGTAGCCGGTGTCGTCGTCCTCGCGGGTCTCCGCCGGGAGTCGGGTGACGTGGCCGCTGTAGCCGACGAAGAGGAAGTCTCCGGGCCGGGACGAATCGACCAGATCCGCAAGTGCGGCCCGGATGTTGTGGCCCGTGGGCTGGGTGTAGGAATCGTCGCTGTCAATGAGGACGGTGATGTCGTCCTCGGAGAAGCCGTAGCGGTCGACGAGGCAGGCATACATTCGGCGGACATCGTTGATGCAGTCTCTGAGCTCCGCCTTTGTTCCGGGGTAGTTGCAGCCGATCAGCACCGCCCTTCTCGCCATGGATTTTTTCGCCTTGGGAGATGGAAAGGTTATCTTATTTATTTATTTATTTATTTATTTGTGGAGTTTCTTTTTATGGAATTGATTGTGCTTTTTAGATTTGATGGAAGGACGAAAAGAGTTGAGAAAAAAAAAAAATGGCTTTACACCATTTAATTTATTTAAGATCTGGAAATATTTGTTAATGCTAAAGATTAGTGGAAATGTTAAATTACTTAACCAAAAATCTTATCCAAACTCAGTTGATGAAATTAATGTAATGAAATTATGAACAGGAAATAGTGTTATTTTTTTAGTCTGTCGGCATGCGAGTGTGGGTCTTCTCCACTTTTATTTTTAATTTTCGTTCGCATTTCTTTTTCGTGATTTTAAAATTTTAATTTGGCATATGTTTGTATTTTTTCTTTCTTTAATTGGTCTTGATACTTGTTCAATACTAGTACAGTACTCATGCAATGCACGAGACTTATTACTTCCGTCCTTTTAAAAGACAATTTTGTATTCAAAATATAATTATATAATAAATGAATGATAATGACATTATAAAATACAATGAAAATTAAAATATATATATTATTAAAATTATATAATAAAGATTTTTTTTCGAATCTATCCAAAAAGTTATAAGGAAGTATTTATTGATGTTTTTTCTTCTTTTTTTAGCTTGGGTTTTCTTGGTTTTTAGTAATTTTGGTTTGGAGGGGCTAACCGGTTTAAGCTTTCGGTTGCCTGTTTTAGCTGTCTTGGTTTGTATCAGTTTAGGCCAACCTTGTTTGGTCCTCCCATTCCCACCCGGTGTGTGTTCTTATTACCCGGTGGGGACCCGGTCAAAACCCGGCACTCTGGTCTTGACCCGGTCGACCCGAGTTATTGACCTGGCCGGGTCAACCCAGTTGACCCGGTCCCTATATATTTTTATATTTAATTTTTAAATATTTTTTTATGTGAAAAATAAAAATTATGTAAATATATTGATATAGTAAATATTTATTGTGAAATACAATATTATTAACACTTTGATGTGCAAATTTTATGTACAAAATATTTATTTTTGTTACTTTTATATATATTTATATGTCAAAAGTATTATATATAATTTTAAAAAGTTTAAAATTAATTATCCAGTTCAGCAATTGACCCGGTGACCAGACGGTTGAACCGGGGACCCGAAGACCTGTCCGATTGGATTTCCGGGCCGAGCTTAATAACTATGACTATAAAAAATAAATTGCACAACTACTGAACTTAATATATTTGCTAAAAATATATAGGATCCCGGTCCAAATAGTCCATCCAAACCGGTTTCGGCTCTGGGTCGACCGAGTCCCAGATCGACCCGTCGGTCCGGTCTGGGTTGAAAAACAATGGTCACAGTATCCGAATAAATATGATGAGTAGGTTATTATAGACAATATCTACTGTTTAATATATATAGAAAATATTGTAAAATATTTTAGTTAGTCAATTTTATGGGCACACGATTCATTTCGAATCTTAATATAGGATTGTGTAGATTAGTTCAAATCAACATATGAATATATATGGTTACCTGAATCTTTTATATATTACAAAAAAAAATCTTTCAAATATTACTAATTTGTTACCTTAATATAAGGGCACACATTATTTTTACAATATATATATTTAGCACACGAATAAATATGATGAGTAGGTTATTACTGATTTGTTTATTCGCTGGTTTTTTTTATTAGGTAGCATATATAGACTAAACCGAAATGTCAACATACCGTGTAAAAAAATTGATTAAAATTAGCGATGGATTATTATAAATTTACAAATCGATTTACAAATCATTTTGGTTGTGCATTTTTTAATACATTAATTTTGATAAATACGAAACTATTATATAAATACTAAATGACATGTGTGAATCAAGCATATATTATAGACTCTTAATTTGTATGTTTGTGTATTGTACACGATTCTGAATTTATAAATAAATATTTATAAGATTATATAATTGAATGTGTATTTTTTGTAAAGAAATATAAAATTATATAATCGAATATCTATTCAAAATTAAATCATGGTCTTGACCAAAGTTTAACTCGCTTATTAGATTTACTTTTTAATACCTTATTGAAAAGTAGAACTTAAATGTTTGAACACCACATATTAGAATATTTATCACGAATAAAATTGAGTAGATTCATTGTGTATTTATACATTACAAATCTATGTTTAAATGTTTGATTAATTGAAATAGTTTTTACCTTTTTAGATTAATTATTAGAAATTTATGTTTAAATTTATGATTAATTGGATTCATGTATTTTTGTAGATTAATTATTCTGTTTTATTCTGTTTGTAAATGGTATCCCAAATTTGATTTGAATTCTAAAAACATACAAATTTGACAATTATTTATGGGATATAAATTGATTTTGATGGAATTGCACATAATTTTTATGGGATATGCACCTTATGTTTCCCAAAATTAATGAATTATGAGAAGTTGGCAAGTAGATTCCCATTCCCTCATGCCAATTTATTTCGATAGGTCATCAACATCAACATTAAAATAAAACCGTGTTGATTTTTAAATGCATTATTTGTAACAAAATTAAACATATTGGTTACCAAAAAATAAGGATCCTAATTGATTGATATCTCTTTCTTACTTCATTCACGGATTCTCTAAACAAATAAATCAAATTGATTACTTAAAAGAATCTAAAAATCCAGAAACAAATAAATGATTTGTGAAACAAATAAACATGGTTTTTTGAGGAAGATTTAAATTGTTTCTATTATAAGTAAGTCAATTAGGTTTACTGAGATTTTTTTTGAAGTTTCCACAAATGATTTATTTACCTCTCTTTTTCAATATATATAGATTCAATATAGATTATTTCAAAAAAATATATATATAAAAAGTTAGTTACAGAATACAAAAGATTATGTTTTTGTTGAATAATGAAATATTTGTCAAATTATAAATGAATATGAAATAAAATATAATAATTAAACTAATATGACAAAAAACAGTGAAATAAATATAAATGGTTGATAGTTAAAAAAAGAGTGGATAAATAATGAATTTTATTGAAAATTATATACTAATGACATTTTTATTATTAAATTGTGATGAAAAAATTGATTAATAAAAAGAATAGATGAATAATATATATATTTTATTTATGTAAATAAATGCTCGTACAATCCGTCGATACAATCATCTGTTCATATCTAGCTACCCGCCATGTTATGGAACAGGGGTTTATTGTTTAATTTAATCAGTGTCAATTAATGGTATGGAAAGATGAAAGGAGGACTTTTAATTGTGTAAAGGCAACCAAAAAATCCATAAAAATAAGTAGCCGCTAGAAGGAGGGCTTGAACCTCCGACCTTGTGGTTAACAGCCACACGCTCTAACCAACTGAGCTATTCCAGCTTGTTGTCAAACTTAATATGATTTTTATTAACGCTTACTAAAGCTTGTTAAGAAAATTATAACACGACATTGTTCTATTATCTTTGTTCTACTATACACTACAACAATATGTATTACAAGGACGCTAATTAATTTTTATTTAAAAAAAAAAAGATAGATAAAACTTTGTTTAAAATTTATATTTATTTTTACTTTTTCAAATTTAAAATATTATTTTCATTTAAAACAACACAAGTCATTTGTACGGCTCATCCATCTTATAAGATAATAATTTCTTTAATCCATATCATATAATAACTTTATAAATAAATTTATTTTATTTATAAATAATTTTAGTATGTCTAAATTATAACTAATAGACTTTTCTTCTAAAAACCATTATTAAAATATTAATAAAACGAACTGACAGGTCCAGAGGACAAGCACGCAAGAAAGAACCAACGAACGAACTTATATATTATCATATCAACACAATACAACTCAAATCTAACTAGATTCCGCAAAACAGAGTAACAAAAAGATGGGATTCTCTTAACAAAACTTGTGGTGTGCCACTAAACATTTAACCAGCACCATTTTCTTTCTCTTCACCCACAGCTGTAGATGAGACCCCTTGAGATGTTGCACTAGTCAAAACCTCACCTGGGGGTGGGTGGTCAAACTTGCATGTTGCTCCGAATTTGCAAGTCCCGGTTTTCATGTAATAAGGGCAGTGTATCGAACCCTACAAACATGATTACGATAATAATTGAGTCTTTTGTCACACAAATACCCCAATGAAACGAACGTATGTGCATATAGGTTCAGTTATAGAGAAAATAGAAATGAAAACAAGTTGCATCGCCAACAAGTTACAGAAATGTCAGTTAAATTTGAGAAAAATGTGTATATATTGACAAAAATGAGGCAATCAAATTTTCTAAGACAATTTTGCGCATCATCAGATGACCATATCAACCATCACAATTCTTTTTAATGTCAGTGAATGGCCCCCACTTGACGAACAGAATGATAAGCAAGTTAAGGGCTGGCAAATCGTGCGCAACATTACAGCTTACAGTGCTGCAACATCGTATCTATAATTTCTACAACAGAATTGAAGAGAAATAAACCCACTTTTCAAGGATGATATGCAAAGTCAAATGGATGGTAACCAAGGCCTCATCAGATAAGCAAAATACCTCTCTTCTAGGGAGGCCTGCAAGAGTGAGCTTCACATTTTCCTGCTGAGATACAGCAGCCGGTGCTTTGGGGTTTGCACGATCAATAGGATGGTGAAACTTGCAGCTATTTCCAAACTTGCATGCCCCAGTTTTCATGTAATACTTATGCCAAAGATTACAAAAAAATAATATTAGAACAAAATAGTACAAACCCAAAAACAGAGGAAAAATCCAAAGCAGAACTCAAAATACCCATCAAGGGAACAACGGTAAAAATTCAACATGCAGATAAAGTGCTTCAAATAATTAGAAAACTGACTCCAAATGAGAAGCCTCTACTTGCTAGATAATTTGTAGACCGTCCTTAATATAGTTAATATGGCAAAAATAGTAGTTAAGGATAATAAGATCATAGAATTCCCAAAAATTAAACACGCACAACATGGAATGAAGATGAGCACTACGTACATCACACTCAATCTGCCCAGGCCGCTGAGGATAAATAGTTGGACCAAGTCCAACTCCAAGTCCAAGCTGCAAAGAGAAAGTGAAGTCATATATCTATGAGACTGCAAAAATAAAAGGTCAGATTGAAGCTTTCAATAATCTCAAGATAATGGGAAAGTCCAGACTAGTTCAACAACATGAGCATCATGACTTGAGATTCCAAAAGTGTTTTCTAACATTTTGCTCGCTCGACAACTTATAAATATACAGACATATAGATAGATATAAATACATTACTGAATTTGTAAAGAAAATCAAAACAACACACTGAATAATGTAAAATAAATGATAAACGGGGAATATTTCATGTTACCCCTAAGGGCACTGCCCCCTTGACTGTTTTGGCCATTGATCTCACACACACCCATGTGGGTGTGTGGGTATGTGTGTGCATATCAATGGCCCACAGTGCATGCAGGCAGTGCCCATGTGGGAAACATCAAATTAGCCGTTAAACGGTATAAAACTTGGGTCAGTTTCTTTAGCCTGTGCATATTTCTCCTCACAGTAGCAGAATGAAATTAGAAATGAACATCAACTCAAGTTTACCGTTGTCTGAGTCAAAGATGCAGTAGGAGCAACCAGGCCAAAGTTGTAATGTGTTGCAGGAGACGTCAGCAGAGAAGGAGCAATAGCTGCACAATAATTTAATTAATTTTTATAGGATGAAAAAGAAAGATTTTTTTATTTTTTTTTTGGGAGGGGGTGGGGGTGTGGGGAGAAGCGAGCTCGCATAATGTTAGTCGTTACTTACAATATCTATCTGGATGGTTGTAGCGGCAAGTGACCCCATACTTACAGCTGATTGAATGAAGAAATGCACATTAGAAGATATGTATATCAAGGATATATACATGGAGCTGGAAATGAGGATCTGTTGTCAAAGTTAACTGCAAAGAACACACCTGCCAGTTTTCAGATAGAATGGACAATCTTCTTCACCCTGTGAACAGCAAGCCAGCAGATGATTATGGACAAATCGCCAAATAGAAAATACATGCGACAGCAATAGGTCATAACGATTGAATCAATGTAGCAGAAAATAATAGCTATCAGTATTTTACATATTTCCTATTCTGTTCCTAAAATCCCCTCACAAAAACTTGAATGGCTATATTTCAATCTTAATGGTTTTTAAGAGTTTTCCTAAATAGCCACAAAAAGACCTCAGCACCTTCTCATCCTTTACATCCCACACCCCAAACAACACCTATGATAGCAATATGTGACGATCTTCTATAAACACAAGCACACGTCCCAGGAAAAATAAGCAGAGAGTTGGGAGTTTGAAAATGGAAAGCAAATGTGTCATGAAAAGAATGAAATAAACCTTTCGCCTTCTCTTAGTTCAACTCGACATTTTGCTTGTAAATATGTTTTTAAGGCTATACACAACATAAAGAGAACACGAGGGCTAAATTTGGGAAGGTCATATACAGAAGAGCAGATATGCAGTAGTAAGACTCTGACTTCAAGCTTGTGTAGACCACAATCCCATTTCTCATTGGTCAAATCAGATAATACAAACTAATTAGTAGTTTTTATGAAATTTTAGAACTCTTCATCATTCCCTACATGAGCTAAGCATGAAGCAGAATCAACTTGAAGCCATTTTTTAAATTTTCCTCCAACATTGATTGGCAAAAAATATTCTGTAAATTAAAAAAATATTGTAACATAAATAGAACATTCCTGGACAATTCAATCCAAGAAAATCAGGTATTGTAAACTAACTATGGCTTTAAATAACAATACCGGTCTGATGGGAAGGCCTTTGGTGTTATGAAGCAAAGCTGGGGCAAAAGTCTGCTGCAATGTCTTTATATCTCCAAATATTTTGTTCTGCACCTCATTTCCTTCCCCTGATGATATTTGTACACCTTTGGGGTGGTGAAATTTGCAGGTTGAACCAAATTTGCATTTTCCAGTCTTCATGTAGAACTGGTTAGATTACGACAGAATTATTTACAAAATTGCTAGTATAGAAAAAGGCAAGGAACTCATGAGAAAAGTATCTTACAGTACATGGAGGCTCTGATGGCCTCTCAGGTAGGATAGAGACATCACCCTCCTCCGTGGCACCCTGAAATTAACTCCACAAAATAACAGTTGATGTTTTGGCAGCATATATAGCCAAATTAACCAAAATAGCAGGTTACGCGAAAATTACTTACTGGAGGTGCAATTCTATCTTTAGGGTGGTTGAATTTGCAGTTGATACCAAACTTACATCTTTGGGTCTTGAGAAAGTACTGGCAACATTTTGAACAGTGAAACAGAGATTAAAATCCAGACGATCAAGTGCTTTGGAGTATGGATTAAAGACTTGAAATATGGCTTACAGGGCAATCGGGCTCCCCCGGTCTCTCAGGAAGGGCTTCGCTTGGCAAGGGGGGAACCTGAACCATGAATTACATGATTTCAAGAACACAAAATATGATGCTACAACTAAAATGGCTAGAGCGAAACAACCGCAAACAGACAATGAGTTGAGTAGAGTGGTGAGAATCGAAGGTAAATCCCAAAGAAAATGAACTTCAAGCGTAGTAAATACACGAAGCCTCTGATTTTCTTTGCTTATACCAAATGCATCATTAATATATCGTGAACCATCATGATTGTAATAAATTCAAGATCTTACTCATCAGCATAAAACACTATTGTTTCATACAGATTCTGGGAAACTACAAATTTATGTTACCGACCGTCTCCAACAACATAGGCATCTTATGAGTTTGGTGCAAGTGATTACTACAACTTTTTACATATACATGCAAGCTTCATATAATGACCTCACATCCATACAAGACTACACATAAGAAGGTACCATGATATAAATCACATGACGACCAGTTCAGGATGGCTTTACTAATAAAATAAAAGCGACTCAACTGAGCTAAATAATATTTAAACTCGGTGGTTTTCTGATTACATAGAATTAGCATAGCACTGGAGTTTATGTTAACATGAGATATTGCTCCGCACATCATACTTCAATAAATTGACCTTTCTGCCTTCACTTTTGGATAACATTAGAGATGAATCTTATAGCTGGGTTTGGAATCGAATGACACAAGGATGAGCATGTCCCATAGGTTGGAAGTTTCAAGTATATCTGTAAAGATGTATACTGACTACGAGAAACCACAACATATACTAAGCATTCTGCTCTACGGAAACTCCAACATATATAAATATGAGAAACCCAGTAAAATCTGTCAATAATAACCTCATTGAGTTTTCTTAACTGTATATACACCAATAACCATGTAACTTATGAAAGAGATTCACACACTACGAGAAGCAAGAATAACAAAATTTCAAAGTGAAGATCGCATCAAGTTAGACCTTCGGATTCACTAGTCAAGACGTTCAGTCAAACATATTAAAGCCTACTGAAATTAGTTAAGATAGAGGGAGGATACGAATTGAACCTAAAGTTTCTTAATTTCCTCATGGCAAGACCATTACCATGAGATGGAATTTGGTTCTGGAGGCCACGGAGTTTAGGAAATATACATGTGATTCATAAAGGATACTCAAAAAGTACATGAGTTCCTTGTATGCCGGCAGAGATAATTACATACATTTAAAATATAGTATAATAACATAACTATAAAGAATGCCATGCTGAAACAAAGACAGTTCCTAATATCATACCCGATGACATATAATAACTGCAGATAAAAACATGCATAATTGATGTTTGTCAACATACACAACAGTGACCACAAAAAAACATATAGATTACAATAAACTTGAATTCAAAATAGAGTGGGATGATGGAACAAAAATCTTTTTATTCATACAACGGGGACAATCTGGGAAGGCAGATCACAAAGTGAAATTGAAATAGGTTCCATATTTGACAAGAAGGTAGACATTCCAGGCTCATGCTGTCACTCATTCCCATTGTGAATTCTTTTGTCAAAAACATAGTTGTTTATGAAATGAAATCAGCTTGAAATGTAGGTAAAAATACATCTTACTCAATTTTAGTAAGTGCAGAAGTACCAAGATTATATAGTTCCACAAAGAGCATCTTCATAAGTGAAGTACTAGTATACGCCATAGGACTAAAAAGTAATAAGTCCTTATCATTGTAATGTAAACAAAACAAACTATTAATAAACAAACTACTAGAATAGATTTTAGTAAGTAAAGAAGTACCACGATAATATAGTTCCACAAAGAGCATCTTCGTAAGTGAAGTACTAATATAAGCCATAGGACTAAAAGGTGATAGATCTTTATTATTGTAATGTAAACAAAACAAACGAAGAACAAAAAAAAAATAATAGAATATATGCATATGGTATAAAGTAACTGAACTAATGGAATATTAACCTAATATAGTATAACAAGAAAGATCACCTCTTTCCAATCTTGGATTCCCCCTTCTGGAACCCAAATAGGATGGTCAAACTTGCAGGTCTCCCCAAACTTACAGGTTCTCGTTTGCATATAATAGGCACAATCCTTCTCTCCAGGCCTCTGGGGATAAACAGGCAAATGGCTCATACTCTCAGATCTAGGGCGCTTAGATAGAGAGTTTGCTGAATACCAAGCTTCAGTTTGCTCAATCTTGTTATGGGCACTCAAAAGAGTCTGGTGGTAGAGTGCTATATATATAAAGAAGAAAATGTCGCATATTTTACAATGTAAATAGGATATTTATGTAAGTATAGGTAGAAAACAAAATACTGTTGACTGGTAAACTGTCAGTTTGGACCCGAATAAATTAAGAATCAGATAGCATAAGGTTCATATTGCAAGTAATGCGTTTAGGTATCTATGTCCAACTTGATATAGATAAGTTGCAGATTACATAATATAAGTCAAAAATCCACGGCCGCCATACAACTCGACCACAGATGATGACTCAAATACTAAATTTGCACATTTCACACTGGATAAAGCACTTAACCGTTGGTAGAGCACAATAGATTCAGTATAAAGAAATCACAGAATGAAAAGGCATAAACATAATCACATTGAAAATGGCATTTTAATGTAATTTGATACTTTCAACTCCAGTAATGTGGTACATCACCATCAGCAGATATAAATTATAAAGGCCATATGAAATGGCATCAATATAATACTTGAGAAAAAAGATTTCAACTTCACTACAAATTATAGTCTTCAGTAAGGCATCTACTTCAAAGCAATTGCCAAACAATATCTCCGTGATGCTGTACCAAACTTTCCTCTCCCTTTGTCGTTGACTACAAACTCAATTATAATAATTCTGTACACCTCATGCGCCATATATAAATAGGCGAATCATCTATTCACATTCTAACGACTTCAATTTGATCTGATATTGATGTAATGGATAGATCATAGATGACAGTTATGAGTCATGTAATTCATCACCAACGATACCTCCTAACAAACACATAAGAAAAGAAAGAAAAAGATAAAATCCTTAACAATGAGTTGCCACCTAACTCGCCCCAGGCACTAGGCCTTAATCATCTTAAAGCACTGGCTGTAAATGAAATATAGAAAATTAAACTAAAGAGTCAAGAGCTAACAAGTTCTCCAGAGCCACCTTTTTTAAACTCCCATATTTCAACTCCAGCCCCTCCCCTCCAGGCGTTCAGGAAACTGATATATTTAGTCTGCCTTCCAGCAGCTGAGCAGCATTTGTGAAACACTCATTTACGGACCACTATATTTATACTTTCAATATATGTTATCATAATTGACCAAGAAACCCAAATACACAATCAAGCCGAACTCCACACAACCGACCGAAACAACAGTCATTCCAGAAGGCTTGGCCAAAATTAGATCAATAAAGGCATACATATACTCAGAGGTGTGAAAAGATTACTTACACTCAGCTGAAGTACGCTTCACGCCGGCGTAAAGGGAGTCGGCAGCCGCATCGACAGCAGGAGGGGCATAGGAGTGCGTGGGAGTGGTAATGGATAGGCCGGAGATCCTAGCAGAGTAGCTGTCGGGGTTGTAGAGCAATGAAGAGGACAGAGCGGATGAGGAGGAGAGAGAGTCGCCAGTTAGGTACCTGGAGGAAGTTCCGAGCAACGGAGTGCCGCCGGAGAGGTAGGAATCGGCTCCCGAGCGAGAGGTGTAGAGGCTGGTGGTAGTTTCGCCGGCACCGGACCCGGCGCCGCTGCCGTAACCGCGGGCGGAGTAGCCGTAGAGCTGATTCGCCATGGATTTTCAGCTGACGAGGAAAGAGGAGCGTGTAGCCCTAAAGTAGGCCCGGCCAGGAAAGGTTAAAATGGACAAATTATCCTCAAACTAGTACGGTGCTCGATGTACGGGAAAATTTATTACTTATATATTTTTTAAAAAATACTTTTATATTTAAATTGTCTCAGGACATTAAGAATTTCATGAAAAATGAAATTTATATGATATTAAACATTTCCTTATGTACAACATTATTGATTTGATTCTTTGGCACGTAAAGTACTACATAGGTGTTCAAATTTATCCAAAATTGCATATTATTAGTTATTAGTTAACAAATTTTTTTAAAAAATAAAGGATTTTATTTACTGAACAAAATTAAAATAGAAAAAAAGGTAGAATTTTTTAGGGATCTTCACCCATTATTTATTTTAAATCTAATTCTAAATTTCAATTAAGAAAAAATTGAAAAGAATCATTAGTTAGTCCAGGAAATGAAACCGATTTTCCTACCAATAAACCGATTTTTTTATCAAACAAATTGATCCGAATTTTTTTCTAAACCAAATAAAAAAATTATCAATTTTTTCTAAAAATGCAACCAAAATTTCCTAACATTGCACCAATTTTTGTATCAAACAAATTGAATTAAAAATAATTCTAATAAAAAAATAAAATAAATTGTTAATGTTTATGCAACTGTCTCTTTCCTAAAGAAAATGATATGACCTTAACAAAAAAAAATGATACGAACTTATCAAAATCTCGATAAAACATGATTAAGAAAAAACATATGAATCCAAAAACATCGATGCACTTAAATTTTGAAAAGTTGTATACAATTTTTCCTAAATAATTGGATAAGGTGACTTTAAATATCAATGATGAACTGCTTTTGTTACCATAAAATGTGGACACAATTTTGAATGTACATCCCGTCCAAATATCAGTTTTATTTTAAAATAAAAATTGCACGTGGCTTTATCCAATTTACACAATTCTTTTGAAAGAAAAAATTATTCAGTAAGATTGGAAGAATTGGTTAAAAATTATACAACTATTTGCTTCCTAAATTTATATCCAACTTGCACAGATTTTAAATTAATTTGTATTTAGAATTGTTTTCATAAATAATTGACACATTTTTTGCATAAGAATCTCCAAATTTGTTACCAAAAAAGATATGATTTAAATTTTGGTAAAAAAA